AAATTGAAATCAGAAGTTTCTGATAATACATGTATGCTGTTTACATTTATCTTCAATAGGTTTTTATCATTTTACATTTATTTTGCATGGAAATTCTCATTATTGTACTCATTCTACTATTTTGAGCACAATTCTGCTATTTCTCTGTTAAAATGTGGTGAACAGGGCTCATCGAAATCTGGGGTGAAATGCATCCATAGAAAACTGGCGTCGACTGCAAAGCGGAACAAAATGACAATCGGCACGCCCTGAACCTTCTCGTTATATTTACGTTCTCTGCGACATATACGTACATATGTATATGTTGCATTTGATAGTCAAACACACCTTTGCTCTTTTCGTGTGGGTGTGGAATTTCAAACATACAACACTATTCACTTTGTGCACATGTTTTTGGTTTTTGTAACGTTGGCAACGCTAACCTGTTTCTATTTTCATATGTATCAGTTGCAAAATTGTTCACTCACTGGCTGACCGTTCCCCGTGCTTGAGGAATAGTGTGATATTGAAACGGGCGAAAGTTAAACGGCGACTGACTTATTTAATGATATGTCAAAAATTTTATTCACTAGTTTCTGGCAGAAATAAGTAAATATTTCAAGCGAAAATCGTGCTGAATTATTACCGAAGTTAATCTAAGAAGATAATTCATGAAACGACAATTGAATTTTGCTAAAAATCGAACGGGTAAACGTGAGGATAATTGATTAAAATCTGATTTTGGTGAAGTGAAAAAAGTGGTAGTTGCTACATCACACGCAGCAAGGCTATATAGAGAAAAAAAGAAATTTGGCATATAAAGAAAAATGAAAATATTCGTATGCTGCTAAATATAAAACTGCGCTCAATTTTTCGCAATACATACTTTTATTGAAAGTGCATTTTGTGAAAAAATTCTAATTTTGTAAAAGTAACATGATTAGAAGAAAAATTAAAAACAACATATTACTACAAAAACCATCATAACTATAACGAGAAAAAAAAAAACTACGAAAAACGACCACGTACAGAATAGAGGATAAACGTTGTACAAGGCAATAATTTCGAGGGACGAGCACAAAGAAAGATAAGGCAATTGAATAAAAGAGAACTAGAATTAAGTCATTCAAACGACACTGCTACGTCGCTAGCGATTGCGGCAGCGGTTTTTCAACTGCTTGCTACGTACAAAATTAAAAGCAGCAGCGTTGGAACCGCGAATAGACTACAAAATTTTGTACCGATCAAGCGGAAAGGTTAAAATAACGACTGAGAGGGAACGGAGAGCTTGGGCAGTGACAGCAAAAGACGGAGGCGGTGGCTGTCAGTCCAAAACTTTTGCTTCAAAGACAATGAATTTTATGAGAAATTAAAGTAGTTAATTAAATCAAAAATACAACGAAGAGTTTCGTAGTAACACATTAAAATAAATAGTAAAGTTAAGGGAGAATATTAAATTTTCCAAATAATAAAGCGCGCACTATACGTACACCTTGTGCGTAAGTGCGTGCGTTCATACGGTCAGCCAAGTCGCAGCTGCAACGATAAAGCAATATAGTAAAAGTGAACGTTAAAACCTTAAAACAGATTGCACAAAATGGAATATCTATGGGGTTTGTACTGAATTTTCCAAAAATATTGTTCATAGTTTATAGTATATGTATATATATATATATATATATATATATATATATATATATATATATATATATATATATATATATATATACATATCTAGGGAATATACATATACAAAGAAAATGCAAATAGCAGCTGTTTGCTCCTTAGTCATTGCACCATTAATGATTTTTCCAAAACCTCTTAATTTTTTTCATTTTTTGTTTTGTTTCTTCAATACGTATTGCCTTTTGTGTGTTTTATGAATATGAGAATAGATACATAAACACATGCATATTTTATGCACAAATAGACTAAAGTTTTAAAAATCAGGGTACTTACGAAGATAAATGTCTGACTTTTGACATAATTGAAGATATGCAAGTGTATAAGCAGAACTATTAACGCTTTCCACAGAACTGGAAACAAAATAAACTGTGTGTCACTATAATGCACGTCTTCAAGGATAATTTCAAATGTACATACAAACATGCATTTGTGTAAATTATGAAATAGATTAAAAACATTGCAATCTCTATGTACATTATTCTTTAAAATTTGTTGTTATTAGGAATACGCTTTAATCTGTGTCTTTTAATTCTACACAATTTTTACGATCCATTTCTTTTGATGCTATTACCTAACCTTAATAATATTTGTGGGTAAAAAGTGATAGTGTGTTTTTTTTTTAACATTTGAATATGTTGGTATTCATAATTTACATATGAATGTCTCAATTATATATAGAAATATAAAACTACCGCTTATGTTATGATAACAATTTAGATATAAAAGGAAATTAGCTGCTTAAAGATGTTAGGTAATTAAAAAACAAATTAAAACAATTATCATGCTTAAATCATTCACGCACTTATATAAATACATACATATGCATGTTTTTAGATATAGTATATATTCTATAAGCAAATCGTTCTACTAAAACTTAAATGTACATATTTAAATTGGCTTCTATTAATTTTTTTTCTTATTATCAATTATCAGGCGGTTACGTTTATATGAATGGGGATGCAGTGAAGTTACAACCACCTGTTGCTAATACCTTATATGCCCATGTACCCGTCGAGACGGCAATGTTAGCCACAACCAATTTATACGCTCCGACAACTCAACTGACAGCTCAAACGGCTACACATATTCCATTAATAGCGACCACAGCCCCACAACCGCCACATCCGCAAACATTGCAAGTGGCTGCAGCACCGCCACCACCCACACAACATCAACACCAACACCAGCACCCACAGCTGATAACACATACCCATCCACACGCGCACACACATACACATAACGCAGCTGTCGCTGCCGCGGTAGCCGCCCCACACACACAACAACCACCCACTGCTGGTGCCACTATACAAACGGTGCCAACTGCCACCCATCAGACCGCACATTTACAATACGCTCATCAGCCACAGCCAATAGCTCAAGTTGCTACGGGTGGCACAACTGTAACTACAATTGACAGTGCAGAATACGCAGCCGCCGTTATGAATGGAACGATTGCCCAGGACGGTACTACCGTCTGCTATGGTCAACAAGAGGAGCTATCCAATGTGGCTGCTGGAAACAATTTAATGGCTGTGGATGTTTCGATGACAGGCACACCGACATCGGTAGGAACTCATCAAGCACATACACAACATGCCGTTGTTGTGTCAAATGGGCCACATCAGACACAACAACAACAAATAAATAGTGGTAATAATATCAATACAGTTGACAATTCCGGCATACCATTGGATCAACTGAAACAAATGCTGTCCACACAGTTGGAATACTATTTCTCCAGGTAAAAATACAGTATTTAAAACGAAAATTATTGAAAATAAATTAAATATAGTTAAAAGTCAGAAAAAATTCGCATATATTATATGTATACTAGATATGTATATAGATATTATGACTTCCGATTTTTCTGGGGGTATTAACTCAATATTCTTTATTCTTTGTAGGGAGAATTTAGCAAATGACACATACCTTTTGACACAGATGGACAGTGATCAGTACGTGCCTATTATTACCGTGGCAAATTTTAATCTTGTAAAAAAGCTTACAAAGGATATTAAGCTTATTACAGATGTGCTAAGAGAATCACCGAATGTGCAGGTTGATGAAGATGGATTGCGTGTGCGTCCAAATCATAAGCGTTGTATTATAATATTAAGAGAAATTTCTGAAAAAACCCCTGTCGAAGAGGTTAAGGTAAATATATATATTAACAAGAAAACATGTTTTTAATTCTTATATTTCGAATTTTTTGTAAAAATTGAATAATCTTTTTATTATAGAATATTTTTAATAACGATAATTGCCCAAGAGTAATATCATGCGAGTTTGCGGGCAATAACTCCTGGTACATAACATTCGAATCGGACGAAGATGCACAGAAAGCGTTTAAATATCTCCGTGAAGATGTCAAAATGTTCAAAGTAAGCAATAATGACGAAATAATTGAAATTAAAAATTAGCTAAACTATATAAACATGGAATTTTTCCTTAGGGTAAGCCAATAATGGCTCGAATGAAGGCGAAACCATTTATCAATAGACTTCCGATTGCACCAGTACCATCCCTAAAGAACGGTTATCGTTTAACGTCGCCCCCGGCTGCCGTATATGATCCGAATACCGCAGCAACAGCTGTTGCATATAATGCAACTCCACAGCGTTTTGTTTATGCTACAAATGGTGCCGCAATGACACAAGCATCAGTTCCCTATAATACGCCAGTGTTATTCGTAAGTGTTTCATTGAAATTTTTGCTATGTTTTTTCTCACAAACTAATCCCATTTTATGATCCTCAGCAGCCTTTCAATCAACAGCAATTTTACCCAAGCATTGTTACAACCACACCGTGGCCACCGGCGGCTGCTGCCGCTGTAGCAGCAGCCGCTACCACTGGTCACAATCAAAACTTCTATGAAATCGGCAATGTATTTGCTAATGGCTTGGCACCGCAGGCGACAGTACCAGCTACTTATACAGCGCAACAAGCGGCCACACCTTTGATGTCCTCATCGAAGGGACCAAGCGGCGGTGGTCGTTATAATAACCATCGCAATAATAGTAGCGGTGCTGGAGGTGGTGGACGCAACAAAATACGTGGCAACAATGCACAACAACAGGTGCAACAACAACAACAGCAACAGCAACAAACACAGCCTTTGCCGGGTATGATCGCAACGCTCGGCAATGTTGTTGGTAGTTTGGTGAGTGTCGTACCAGCAATAGTCGATCCCTTGCAACAACAACAGCCACAGGCTCAATCTCAACATAAAATGCAACAAGCGACATCAAGTCAAGTGCAGCAGCAGCAGCAACAACAGACGCAACAATCCCAACAACAAACACAAAACACCAATACCACCAGACACTATGGTGGTATAAAAGCTAGTGGTGGTAAGCGTCGCTACTCTTGATATACTGATTACATTAGAATTCAATAAGTAATTAATTTTAATTTAAATTTTATAATATTTCATATAGGCGGTATGAACAAATCATCATTGGATAAGTCATATGGAGGCGGCGGCATGTCAAGTCACATACATTTCGGCTCGCAATCACAATCGAATGCTGGTCCACCTCACCATCACTCATCCTCAGTGCAATTGCAACCACAACAGCAACAGCAATCAAACACAGCTGCTACTGGTACACATTTACAACAAAGTCACTACCAGATGCCTTCCTCGACCGCAGCAGTAGCGGCAGCGGCAAACACTTCTTTGCAGCACACTTCCTATTCACATGGTACGCCGACAGTGTCGGTGCAGCAGAGTCATCACCATCATCAACAGCAACAGCAGCAACACGTGCAACAAAGTTTGCATGGGCAGCATGTTTCCGATATTCAAGATGATGGTAGTGTTATCGTTTATGATATGCTGCCAAAACAGCAGCAGCAGCAATCGGCACATCCCCATCAACAGCAGCATCAGCAACAATCACAACAAAACAGTCAAAACTTTTATGATGATGGTGTTATCGTTTATGATATGCTGCCAAAACAGCAGCAGCAATCGACACATCCTCATCAACAACAGCAACAACAACATAGCCGAAGCAACTTGTCAAGTTCCACATCGTCGCTGGCGACGTCATCGTCGGTTGGTGTCGGTGGGGTGGGGAAGGAACAGCCAATACATTGGACACAACCGCGTCATCGACGTCGAAGACGTGACGATGATGGCAACGTTATGACATATTCGCCAACCACTAGACTTGGAGGCGCAGGCGGCGGCGGCGGCGGAGGTGGAGTAAGCGGTGGGGTCAGTATAACAACATTTTATACGCCTTATAGCACATTCGTGCACAATGTTGTTGGGGTGGGTGGTGGAGTTGGAGTTAGTGGAAGCGATATGGATGTAGAATTCGATGTAGGCAACAATAGTAGCAACAATAGTGGTTGCGTTGAGAACACGAGCGGCAATGAAACTGTAAGAGGGGGAGCTGGAGGATCAGGAGGCGTTGGAGGTGGGGAAGGCGGAGGGCAGCATGGCGGCGGTTTGCAGTCCTTTACTAGCAACCCCACCATCACCACCACTACCACCACCACCACTACTGTCATCACTGCTATCGACAGCTACAGCGCAGTGGATTCAACTCATAAACTGAATTTAAATCTAAATGTAATTGCAAGTCCCAATCAGAATATGAACACGAATACGAATCAGAGCCCGAATCCGAGTCAGAATCGTAATTCGTATGCGAAAACTGAACAAAGCCAAATCCATAATCAAAATCAGCATAAGCACTTTACCCAAAACCAGCACCAAAGCCAGCAGCATATCCAATCAAATCAAACCCAGATAATGTCCAATAGCTTCCACAGCAGCTTCCATCATAATCAATATAATAATAATAAATTTAGTAATAATAGTTCTGCCACTTCTACTACCACCACCAATACCAATACTTCTACTAATACTGCTACTAAAACTTCTACTAATTCTAATGCTACTAACAATAATCATAATAATAATTTTGCTACAACAACAACTTCATCAATAATAACAAGCACAACAAACAATGCGAATACGCAAAAAGCAAAAATATTCATTCAATCCTCTACTTCGCAGCAGCAAACCTACATTGGTGGTAGCTCATCGTCACATCATCAAGCACAGCAGCAACAACAACATCAACAACAACAACAGCAGCAGCAGCAGCAGCAGCAACAACAACAACAATCCTCAAATTCCGGCAGTACACTTGCATTATCATCAAATAACAACAATAACAGTACAATGTCATCTCAAAGTAGTGGCGGCGGCGGCGGCGGTGGTTCCGGTCACCATAGTCAGCGTGGTGACGGTATACATCATGGTGGTAGCGGCAGTAGCGGCTACAACTCTCATCGTGACGAGCATCGTGGAGGTTATAAGGGAAACAATTACAATCCCCATTACAATAGCGGTGGCGGTATGGGCCATCACTCGCAACATTCAAGTGCATCGCATCATCATCATCATAGTGGCGGCGGTACATCGCAGCAACATCACCACCACCATTCATCGTCACATCATTCGGGCTCAACGCATCACTACCATCACCATCGCCACGAAGTTGGAAGTAGTAGTGGTGGTGGTAGCGGTGGCTTAAGTGGTGGCGGTGCTAATAGTGGCCATGGCATGAGCGATCGCAGTAATGATCGCAGTGGCGGTCATGGACATCACGGTCAACAACAGCAGCAACAGCAGCATGTGCCGCCGCCACAGCCGCCACAGTTTGACTTAGAAGCGGCCGCATTTCCACCACTGCCAGGTTTGTACTTTTTCCCATTCTTTTGATCTATTTAATATTTAATAATCGTTTACATTAATTAAGCATAATATTTTTAAAATGATAACAGAAAAATACATAAAGATTCCTTATTTATTTTAATGTTTTCCAGGAAAGATAGTATAAATGTGAAAAATCTTATATATTTAAATTTAATACTCTACAAAAGTATTCGGAAGTCAATTAAATTTTAAAATTTTTAGATCTAAGTTATTAAATTATTATTTTCTTCACAAAATTTGTGGGCATGTGTTGCCGAATACTTTTGCAAAATCATTTTACTACATTTTTATTCAAGCGTTGTTTTCATCCTTTTAGCTTTGCATTTGTATCTTACTTTTTTTTTGTTTTTCAAACTAATTTATTTACTCTGTATTTTAATATAATTTTTTCTTTACCAATAAATAGCGACCACAGCTTCGTCTTCTTTGGGGTTATCCGGGGCGAGTTCAACAAATAGTAGTGGCAATAATAGCAACAGTGCAGCAGCGGTGTCTAGTAACAAACAAACTGCTAACTTGACACCACATCATCATCAACAGCAACACCATCACCAACAGCAGTCTTTCGGCGGTGTCGGCGGCACTGGCACCGGCACCGGCACTGGCGTCGGCAATGATGGTAGTGTAAGTGGAAATAATGATGGGCAGTTGCAAAAGACAGCCTATTTGCAACAGCAGCCACAACAACAAAAAAACAATCTGTGCTCAAGCCATTCAAATGCCTTACAGCAAACAAATAGTTCCTCATCGACGGTAACTGGTATAACAGCGAATGTTGGTGGCGGCAGTGGCGGTGGCAATAGCCACCAAAACAACAGTGCCAGTGTTAGTGGTAGTGGTTGGTCAAATGAAAATCGTTTGGCTGACGTTGTACGCTCTGGCGCTAATACTGGTGGTAATAATAGCAAGAGTAAATCCCGAAAAGATTCCGCCCATAATAATAAACAGCAACAACAAAATTACCAACAGCGTAATACAAGCTCTAGTGCCACTATTAGTCCCACCTCGATATCGTCCATCACCGCCGCAGAAGGTGCTTTTACCGCTGACGAACCGAATACGGTTGCGACAGCGGCTGCGACAGCGAGTGCGACTGCGACTGCGACTGTGGCAGCACCAGTAGCAGTAGCATCGATAAAGTCGAACAACAAATCGGCAACATTGAATAAGCAGAACTTGAATTCGAGTTCGAATACAAATTACACAACCACCGCCTCCTCATCCAACAACACTGTGATAAAGTGTCCAACACAATCCAATAATAACAAAAACAACAATGCCTATAGTCTAACTGGCGGCAATGCGTCATACGACAGTAATACTGGTGAGCTATGCTAATGGTGATATAGAATTAAAATATTATTATTCATACTATTTAACCGAACAAATCCATCAATTAACATGTAATTACTCACCTTCGGTTATTCAATTACGAATTTTGTAAAAAAAAAAAAAAAAATGAAAAGCAGTGAAATCACTGAAAATATATCTGTAATTATTGTTCTTATTTTCTAACGACTCATACTCACGAACACAATATGTATGTATGTTCATTTGCAGAGAAATATGTTAAAACTATTTCTTTTTAATTTGTAGTTGACGAACTTAAGCGGAATAACCGTAAATGTATATATAATATACTTAGTTTATTGAATTTTCAATTCTCTAATAAAAGCTCTATTTACAGTCCTTGGTGAAAAACCTATTAACAAGACTGAGGATCTGTCCGTTTTCAACGCGACACAAGAAACAGGTTGCAAACAGCAACAACAACATAATAACCCCCAAGATAACAATACGAGTACAGAGTTGCACCAGCCTCAACATCCCCCAACTCAGCATGTGCTGTCTTCATCCTTAACCACGGCCGGCAATTGTAGTGGCAGCAACAATAGTGGATCACAAGCCGTCACATGCAGCGTAGCAACTATGACAACAAACTTCGCAGATTGCAGCCTAAGTAATCACAAAAAACCGCCAGCAGTGGCAGATTTATTAGCCAAAAAGGCGACGCCGAAAGATGCTACCAAGCATAAGAATGCTTCAACATCTACAAATACTGCTTCCATTGAAAATATAGTTGCAGCGCAGACTGGCATACCTATAACGAATGCCACTTGCCCAAATGTTACTCCTGCAGCAGCAGCAGCAGCAGGTAATAATAGTTCACGCTTAAGTTATGCGCAAGTCGCTCAACACCACAAAGAACGTTCCGCCACAGATGTTGGAAACAGCAAGGAGAATTCTGCCTCGGGCCAGGCATCGCCAGTGGCTCTGCCTAATAAAAACGAATTATTATTAAATATAAATAAAAATGAGCCTAGTAATAGCAGTAATGCTGCGTCTGGCGGAATAAATGCTGTTATTGGAGTGGCGGTTGCGGCGACAGCGACGCCATCTACACCTATTGTGGCTTCCCCCCAGTATGTGGAAAAGCAGAGCGATAAGTCTATAATCTTTGACAAACCACGTGGCGTAACGAACGTGAGTCAAGGAACTTCAAGCGGTGCCGTAGCAAGTAATGCAGGTAACGGCAGCGGCAATAGTACAGGTGCTGTGAACAGTGGAAGTAATGTGGTTACATTACGCACTGATATTTCCAAAGAAAAGGGTAAGTGTGAAGCTAAAGTAAAACTTCAGATGAAAGCTCCTATCTAATGCCTCATGTCTCTCATGTTCTACATTTCAGATGCTTTACGCGAAAATCGACAAAGTACCGGTAGTAACAATAGCGGCAGTAGTGGGTTTAGTAGCAGTGGTGCAGTTAGTAATGTTGCATCGCCATCCACTCTAACGACCACAATTCGCAATCGTGGTAACGATGGCAAAGAGAAGAATGTGCGGGAACGTCATGACACTGCCGAAAGTAGCAGTAGTGGTCGAAAGTCTGCGCGAAATTAATCGTCAGTTTGGTTGAAAGGAGCGAATACACTTTGCATAGAAACAGCATTTCACACGCATATATAATACACGACAAAGCATACATAAGAACACTCCAAACACATTCTCTCATCTAATTGAGAGTATAAAATCACACAAATAGAACATATTATATGTATTTAGAAACACACAAACGAATAAGTTGGCATTGCGGTACTTTGTGTTCATGGCAGCAAATAAGTAATCACATTGCATCGTAAATTAATGAAACAATTTTTATTTTGTGATCTAACGTAATTAATGCATACGAAATCAAAAACAAATGAACAAAATACATTTAGAAAACTAAGGTGAGACAAAATGAGAGCGTGTTATGAGTGAATTTTGTGCGAAATTCTTTGTGTGTGATCTACGAATTTAAAAAAAAAAAAAAAAAGTGAAAGTTGTCAATGCTGTTCAATTGCTAAGCTCATAAACGGTAGTGTTTGACCTATAACTATAGTACACACTACCATTGCTGCACAGTTATATTGCTTTAAGAGTGGAAATATTGTTTTGATAAATGGGGCAGCCGCGCTGCTGAAGGTTCTACAATACCGCTTTTTATACTTGCATGCTACAAACCGCCAAATTGCTGCATAAAAACTACCAATTTACTACTATGTACTACTACTACTACTACAACTTATACTACTGAACAACAATTGTTTTTATGATATTATAAAATTTCACGAATAATTGTTATAAGAAAATATAAATCATGTTATAGAAGAACAGAAATAAGGTAAGTTCGAAAGAATGTCTTAGTAATAATTTAAGATTATTAAAATAATTAAAAATATTACTCTTACTTGTAGCTGGCGTTTATAGATGCAAGAATTGTAAGATTTTTTTTTTTTTAACATTAGTGAGGGTATTTACTTACGGCCACGTATGCAGTACACATGCTAGTACTTGATTTTTCCGTTAACACTCTTTTTGCTTAAAAATTTCAGTATGATTCTTTTCTAAAGACATTGCGAATGAGAGTCACCCCATAGTGATTTACACTGATATCAAATGAAGCACTGAAGGTCGATAAGAGTGTAGTTTCGGATTGGTGTTTATCATTATTCTACATTTTGTATTTTATAATTACAAACATTTTTGCAAATAAGCTAAGACAGCCGAAGACATGGCTATTTTAGGAAAAAGTCAAAATAAATATCGTAATTTAGTAGCAAAGCGATAATTATATTATTGTATGGGAACTCATTGCATTGTTAAGTATATTAGAACTGTTGTAGCCGCAAAAGTATTCTCCAGAAAGAGAAGAAAAAAGAGTCTTGAAACCAAACGACTAAATCAATTTCGGTTACAACAATAACCATTTCATTTCATTTCTTTTCTTTTCTATATTTAACCAAGTATTTCGCCAGCCTTTCCCATTAATTCCAACTTTAATCTTATAGATTTCAAGTTTAGTGAAGCTTAACATTACAAATATGTAACATATTTTTCTAATCCCAATAATTTTTACACACCACGATAATTATGTTAATGTACAATATTGCACATTGTTTTATTTCAAAACTTTATTTTAATAAAAACTTTCTTTATATTTCAGCTGTTTTTGGTAATAAAAAGACGAAACGTGTACCATTCGTGAAAAAAATATATGTATAAACAGAGGACCAGACCGAAATTATTCGATTACAATAATTATAAATATATATATATATATATATATACATATATATAAACAAATATATATATAACCAAACTTATACTTAGTTATTAAGTAATTGATGAACGAATTGTCAAAATATTGAAGGAAAAAGAATGAGAAAAACAAGCGTGTGTATCAAAGAGGGAACAATAAGCGTGCGTTATTGTTGTATATATATATATATATACATATATAGACAGAGCGAGATTAAATTAAAGAATTAATTCGTCAATATATTATATTAATTGTAATATCATATTCATATGCACATATTTGTTATGTGGAATGTATTTATGTATGCAAAATATATATGTAGATATGACACTCTTAAAAATTTAATTAGATATGATGGTTACAAAACACACACACACACACACCTACACCCTTTACATACATATATATATATATATATATATATGCCGCTGTAGGATTCTCTAAAGGCTTATATGTGTTATACAATATTATAACTAGAATCGAAAAAAAAGAATACAAAGAAAACACAAATCCGATATTATATGTTAAGCTGGTAGCTAGGCATATTACAGAGAATATTATAATCTTAAATGAAAGCTGCAGTTATAGTGTGATAGACATAAGGTATGGAATGAATGTGTTGTTTTAGTTCTTATTTTTATAACGTTAGTTTTGTTAATTTTTCAATATTATTATTTTTTTTTAAGTAAGAAAAAATATATGGATAAATGTGTATATACATATTTAATGATTACATAGGGAATTTTGTTGCAAAGGCCATAGTAAAAAGTCAGTGTTTACCACACTTAGACTTCAAATTCATTATAAAAAATTTGCATAATTTTCGGACATAATTAGACTAAAAACAAAAAAATTTCGAATTGAAAGCAAACATTTAAACCAAAAATTATTAGATTTAATAAACGAACGAACTGCTTATTTATGAAGTCAAAAAATATTTAGTTTCGTAAAATGAAAATACGTGTCAAGTAAATTTATTTTTAATTGGAATCTCTAAAAAGTAGTTTTTAACGAATTTTTCTTTTATTGATTTATTTGCGTGAAGTTTAACGTTAGAAATCAATTTAAAATAATGAAATAAATCTACTTCGTTTGGTCGATACATTGTTATTCACTTATTATTTGTGGTTATGGTTACAGATAGTTTTAAATTTGAAAAAAAAAAAAACATTTAGAGTCCAAAATATCATCATTAGAGGCATAAATCTTACGTTATTTCACGTTTTTTTTTATTTAATTGTTAATATGTTTTGAATGTAGTATGAACTTGTTTCGCGGCTCACAAATTCCAATGTATAAAAACGAGTTGAAGCAAAGTAATACATACATACTTACATATACACATGATAATAATGATGTTAATAATCATATTATAGCCCTTTAGATAATTGAATTAGCTTGCAAATAGATAAGAGAAATTAATGAAAAAAATAATTAAAATGAGTTGTAAGAAATAAAATCGAATGTGCCATAATAAATTTTGTGCGAATGAGAGTGAAAATGGAAAGCAATTAAGCGTTAATGACAACCTTTAGTGGTATTTCGATATACTTGTATTACATTAATATTATTATTTATTTTCTTAACCAAATTTTCTTTCACATTTCAAAAAATAATGAATATAATCAATAGTAGAATTATTAGAGGAGCAGAAACAGCAGCAGGCAGAAGGTTGTATTTTAAAATGTGGACACAAATATTTTTTTTTTTTTTTGTTTTGTTTAAATACACAATATAACGCAATCAGTAAATATAGAACCTTTCAAATAGTTTTTGTGTGAATTTTTTGGTTTTTTCTGATGTATTATTTATTAGATATCATATCGATCAAGTAGGAGCTTATTTAGACAAATTACAACTAGATCAGTTCCTTATTCAGCATATCTTTAATTATTGGACGATGCAACAAAAAAAAAAAAACAAAAATGTTTGAATTCAAATTTTGTGATCGCTAATTTTTCCATTCTCAAACATTTTTTGTACAATAATTTTTTATTACTTGAGCAGCTTGAAACAAAATTAACTTTTCGTACGTGTGCTCGCGTGCTTGTATATGTATGCACATATATATATTTATGTATAAATAAGTATATATTTTAAAAATTTCACTTAATATATAGGATACTTAGGATATATTCTTTTTGAAAACTACGTTACTTAATTTTCTTTGAACAAATTACCATTGACATATATTTTAAATAAACATAAAGTATGTGCAATAACGATTTGTTTAAAGAAATATTTCACATGTGTAAATGCACCACTTTCTTGAAAAAGGTAATTTTTAAGAGCAATACAGTAATTTGCTTGGCAGCTAACAGAAATAATACGCTGTTTGGGGAATTAAAAAAAAAATGGATTTTGGCGCACATTTCCTAAGAGATTTTCTATAAATAAAGCATTTTTTCTCTATGTTAAAGTTGAAAAGAAATCACAATATGTATTTGAACGTGCCTTTCCATTCATTTCATTCAAGACTTCTTACACTTACTTTCTTTCAAATATGCAAACACTAGACGTTAGTATTATTTACAAATTTATGCACTAAAGGAAACACACAAAAACAAATGATCTGAATATAAATTTCCTTTTTCATTTTAGTGACATTTCTGTTTTCAAAACTTAATTGAAGTCAATTACCGAATTTCTTTTAATAATTTTTTTTTTTTTTTTTTTTATTGAATTAAGTTGTTAACAAACATAATTTTTATGGCATTAAATTTTAATATTTATTCTTTATTATTATCGTTAAATAATATAATATATATATATATATATAATTTTTTTTTTAAATCTGTGCAGGTTATGTATTTTTAATAATGACATAAATTAAATTAAATATTTTTTTTTTTGTTTTCAATTCGAAAGTTGTTTATGTTGTTGGATGTATTTACCACTCAAATGGTGTAAATTCAATTTGGATCAAGTTGAAAATTGCGGTATCTGCCAACTTTCTCACTAATGCTACGCTGTGCAAATGATTTTTTGCGTACATACATATATATATATATATTATTGTGTTCATATTTTTTGTGCACGAGAAAGTCGACATACATACGATTGCGATTTTCCTTTTATGCTAAAGAAAAAAAAAGTAAATACATACATATTAAGTCATATCTATGTTTTAATTTCTTATATGAATGTACGTATGTACGTATTATACATATGTATATTCGTGTGCATATGTATGTTTCGAAATCAATATGCCTTTTATCATTTGTAACTTGATTTAATGCTTATTTCAGCCATTTAACATGCGTGATTATGAATTTAAATGCAAAAATATACATATATACATACACTACATATAAATTAACACATCGAAATTTCATAGCAACAAATGAAATATACATATACACACAGTCTTTATTCTACGGCGCCTACAATAAGAAGATTATAAATTGGCATAAGTATTTACAAGAAATATATGTATATATGTATATACGTGCAAAAGCTATTTATCTAAATTTTATATTATAAACATCGGAAACATACACACCTACCATATGTAAGTCTTTGTAACTTAACATTTATGCAGTGCGTTTTTAGTAATGTGTGTGTGTGTATGTGTGCATTGTGCCAAATCACAAATATACATATGTATACATATATAGTATATATGTATGTGATTTGATGATGTTGATGAGATTTGACGATGTTGTTTACTCTTGTTTCAAATATGAAAGTTCTAACGAGACAAGCAAACAATTTAGCTTATATGCATATAAATATACAATATATATACCTACATATATGTATAATAAAATAACTACACCGAAATTAAATTTGTATTAAATATGAATATGGGAAAACTATTTTGTAGTGTTTAAGTGAAATTGTACTGGTGGTACTATATACGATAAGTTGACTAAATTATAGCATAGTATATATATAATATATACATACAATCATGTATGTATGTTATTCACTAAACAATATACATATACATATATATACATATACAAATGTATGGCACATGCATAAGAGTATACCACATTTAATATGACAAAACAAACAAATGAAATAATAATATAAACTAGATATATGTATGTAATTTTGCAAAATTGTATTTGCATGCGTAATATGCATACATACATACATATGTACATATGTAATATACAAAAAAAAAAAAACAATAATAAGAAAAGCTAAAACTATTTTTTTTATTATTCCTAGCGCTAAAATACCGAAAAATTACACGCGTACACACACATACACACACACACACACACACACACACACACACACACACACACACACACACACACACACACACACACACACACACACACACACACACATACACACACACACACACATACACACACACACACACATACACACACACACACATACACCAATCATTTTTTTTAAACAATCCATGTATGTATGTAGTATGACAACGTGAATTAGTTACATGCATATAATAAATATTAACTATAATTAACATGCATACATACATACATATGTACATGTATATGTCGTATGCATTTGCATAGACGTGAAGTGAAGAATATGTCCAGAGTTCATTTTTGTTATAGCGATTATTTTTTTGTTTTGTTTTGTTTTCTTTTTTTTTAACATGTACCTTTACAAAGTGTACAGCTAATGGAGTATATTACATATACACACATACATATAAGTTAAAGATGTTATTATATAGAAACAAAGAAAAAACAAAAAAAAAGAAAGAAAACAAAAAACTAGCCTAGCATATACAAACATACATATATACATACATACATACAATACATATTCATATATTAAAATTCAAGAGTAAAAATTACAAAATCAATGAGCTGCTTAGCAGTGCAGAAAACGTGTATGTAATAGTAAATTAGGCGCTGAATTCATGAATTAGTACGTATGTAGTTGATGATGAGTAGTAACATGGAGTGGTAAATTTGAATTATTTATATATATATATATATATAATATACATACATACATACACAATCAATATTATGCTCGATTATGTTGTAGTTAAATGTGGGCTTGTTTGTTTATGCGCTTATTATTATTACAACAACTTTATTTTTTTTTTATAAATACATACATACATACATAGCAGCATAATACCTTCGAAGAAACTTTACACTTTACTCTAACTATGT